AGCCGAGACTCAACCACCCGCTCGCATGAGAGACCCGCTTCCGGCTCCCGGCGGAAGTCCCGCCCCCGCCGGCGGAAGGGATTGGCCGGCGCCGCTCTGCCGGGCGCCGCCGCCCGCGGATTGGCGGAGCGGGGAAGGGGGGAGGGGGCCCCGGCGCGCGCGCGGCGTGTGACGCGCGGAGCGGCGCGTGAGGCGCCTGACGTCACCCGCCGCGAAGGAGCGCGCGGGGGCGGGGCCCTCGTCGTCCGTTCCTCCTGCCTCTCCCGGAGGCGTTTTGTCCCTTCGCTCTCGCCGTAGCTCCGCCGGGAAGTGGCGGGAAAGGGGAAGGGAAGGGAAGGGAAGGGGAAGAGGAAGGAAAGGAAAGGTGAGGGGAGGGGAAGGAAGGGAAGGCCGGGTCACGTTTGATATTGCGGAAGTGGTGCCTCCTATCCCGATGCCTCCGTGTGTGTCCGTGGGCAGTGTCCAGCCGGGCCCGGACAGCGCGGCGGCGCCGGGCCGCATTTCGGGCCGGAGGGACGGAGCAGGGCCTGGGGCAGTACCCGAGTCCGGCGGGCATCACCGACAGGTGCGGGTGTGGGAGAACATCCAGGTCTGTGCGCTGATACACGACACATTGTCGCCTTTTGAAACGCTGCCACGGCAGCAKCGGGAGGGCCCAGGTGCCTGTCCCGTATTCCAACCCTTACCACAGACTATCTCAGCTCCCGGTATAGCAGCTCGTGTGGAGCGGGACTGAGCAGTTGTGGCTCAAAATGAAATGATAAACAGGTATTTTGAGAGAAAAGTATTTCATGAAAGAGCCTTGTGTTTCATGTGGGTTATGAAAGCATTGAGAGTGTTGTCTCATAGAATCACAGAATGGTTTGCTTTGRAAGGCACTCTAAAGATCATYRAGTCCCAGTCCCCCTGCCGTGGAAGGGGCAGATTCCACTAGTCCTGCTTGCTCCAAGCCCCATTCAGTCTGATCTTTAACACTGCCAGAAATGGAGCATTCACAGCTTCTCTGGGAAACCTGTTCCAGAACCTCACCATCATCACACTATTCATTGCACGGAGGAAGAGGAGGCAGAGGAAGCAAAGGGCTGAGGACCAGTCTTCTCTTGAGAAGACACTGGCTGCAGCTGAAAGGCAGCATTGTTAAGCAGGATCCACACAGCGCTTCCCTCTGACGAGTTTCAGTCCCCCAGGACAGTTCCTCTCTGCCACTGCCACAATGTGACAAGCAAAGAAACTGCTGGGAAATAAAAATGCATTTTAAGGTGTTTCTCTTAGGCTGGAGAAAGTTAGGCTGGATTGAAAAACGTGCATGGGAAAAGAATGCAGAGACAGGCACGCAGGTGTAAGTACAGGACATTCTGGTTGGAACATTAGGGACTTTTGCCAAAGGTCAAGTCTCTGTAGGACTCTCCCAACTTCTCATCCTCAGGCTCCATYCCTGTTGCTCTTACCAAACTGGGGAATAGAGTAAATCTTCAGTTATATAAAACTACAGTGAACTTCATAAAATTCAAGAGTTCTTTTGTTTGACCAAAGAACAAACAAGTCTTGTCAAACAATTCTGATTATTTAGTGCAGATCATAATCTATATCTATAATCTATTTTTAACTACAGTTAATTAGGCAAAAGGAAAACCTGTGGCTTCCTCTCAGGACTTGGGAAAAAAAAAAATCTAGAAAGGATCATCTTCCAGGACTGCTCCCAATCCTCAGCTCTTTTACTTCAGGTGTGGCAAAACTACATCACCTGACAACCAGTTGTCAGTAATTATCTGTGTTGTGCATTGGGTCTCAGAAGTTAATCCAGATAGGATAATCCAATTTTTAACCCTTACTGGTAARAGTCATATGCCTGCCTTCCAGGTGTCTGCTAGAAATTCCCATAGAGACAATACAGCAATTAACTTAAARGACCTATTTTAAGGACACTGAAGCACCCTTTGGAACAGTTTTAGGGGACAGTTTTAATGTTCTTTATGTTACTGTATTCTTAAAAATCCCCTGCTACCAGGGGCAATAAAGAGCATCCCCRTGCCTGAAATGAGCTCAGAGCCTACTGCACACAACAGCTTTGCTCCTGATTGAGGGAAGTGACGTCTCAGCGCTCACTCTTGAGCAAACAAGGGGGTGTTTTCTTAGTAAGTTGTTTCACTCTTACAGAATTGTTATGAGGAAAAAGCCTTAAGCAAAAGAAGATGGATAGGATAGAGCTTCAYCAGGAAAAGGAATAAGCCAGCTTTGAAAAGTGGATGTTCAGAAGGACAGATGGTGCCTCAAGCAGTGSAGGGAGTGTCACTGATCCATTAGGTGGTCACCATGCAGCTGCTGTATAAAYGATTGCTTAAAAGTCTGAAACGGTGAAACAACTGCTATTCCTAATGCTTTTTAAAAATTTATTTTATGAAGGAGTTTGATATAATTTTGCTCTTYAAAGCCAGACTATTTTTCAGCAGACTGCAGTTCTTGTCAAAAAAAGAAAAAGGTCTGATAYTAAACTCTCAAACATCATAAGCCCCATTATGTCCTTATTCTAGAGGGGCTTCAGAATTCCTTACCCCTTTAGGCATGCAGTCTTCATTCTTCCCGAACTTTATTCCCATGCAACACTTGGTGAAACACCTTTTCTTGAAAGTGATACRAGTTTTCTACTTGCCTGCGCCCCTTCTAATTCTCATTGTGGGGGATGCAGAACTTAATCTCTAAATGTTTCAATTTTTTAATGGCACGCTGCTGAGATCAAAGAGGTTTGATGTTTTTTTCTTGGTACCMTGGTAGCTGAGGAGTCTTTCCCCAGATAGCAGTGAAATATTAGAAATCARCAGTGGATGCTGTGTGGTGATGGAAACTACTCCTGTTTCTTCTACATCTCAAACTCAGCAGTTGGGAGAGAGAATGCACCTCTGAAGGAGCAGTGTCCTTGAAAAATTGGACCATTAGTCCAGAAAAATCAAGCAAGAGCAGACTGAATTTTTTTTTTTTACTTGATCTGTGGTCAATCAGATATGGAAGGGACTATGTAAGTTACTTCTCAGTTTATTAGTGATATATTCTTAAAATTTTATTTTACTCTGGAGAAGAGGAGGCTCATGGGGAACCTCATCACTCTCTAACTCCCTGACAGGAAGTTGCAGCCAGGTGGGGGTCGGTCTCTTCTGTCAAAACTCAARTGAAAGGATGAAAGGGAATGGCCTCTAGTGGCACCAGGGGAAATTCAGCTTAGATATCAGAAAAAAAAAAATATTCACTGGAAGATCAGTGGTTGAGCACTGGAATGGTTTCCCAGGGAGGTGTAGGAGTCTTTGGAAGTGTTCAAGAGGTGTTTGGAGGTGGCACTCAGGAATGTGGTTGTGGAAGTACTGGGTTGATGGCTGGGCTTGATGATCTTGAAAGTCTCTTCCAATCTTGCTGAATCTTGCATTCTGTGATTCTATAGGTTTTTTAATTAGGATTCATAGTTGGGTGGGCGGGAGGTATTTGTTATACTTRAGAAGGTAACTCCATACAAAGAGGAGCTGCAAATAATGCAGTATTCCTGGAAGCTAAACCTAGAACCAAGCAGTCAGAAAAAACTGAAAGCCTCAAAAATCACTGGATGTACTRAAACACTTTGACTTTAGGTTTTTTTTTTTTTTTATTTCCTCTCAATATTATAAAAAGGATAATATTTCCTTCCTCACAAGAGCATAGAGCATTAATTCATTAAAATTTGTGAAGCACTTGGGTGGAATGATAAAAACTTTCATTAACACCTAACTAAATTTCTGCTTTGTAAGGGAGTTCCTGATTTGGACTACCTCCTTTTGTTTGTTTGTTTGTTTGTTTCTTTGTTTGTTTGTTTGTGGGTTGGTTTTTTTTGTTGTTGTTGTATGTTTATTTCCTTTTTACTCCTTTGAAATGTGCTCTCATAAAATAATTCATCCTGCCGATCTATGGGATAAGGCTTCATGAATCATTATTTAAGTATTTAAGAATTGCTGACCTGGAACACTTGCCAAAAGTCACAAACCASTCAGTACTCTGCAATTTTTGAGRCCTTATAAGCCAAGTAATATTTTAYGATTCCTGAAGCTATTACCCAGCTTTGGAGGAAGAGAGGTGTTTTGAAACCTAAGATGCTAGATGACTGTACACAGTGGGCTATTCCTGTCATAAAACTTTAATAGAATCCTGTAACCAGTCTCTATTGCACAGATTTGATGAGTTGCATTTTAAATATATATTATTTCTACGTCAGTATCTTTCRTAAGTCACAGGTAAATATTTGACTGTCTGTCAAAGACAGTCCTTGTTCCRAGTAGACCATCTCAACAGTCAAAGTGGAGATGAGGAGAAACTAAATAGTGCTTCTGAAGGGAGGGGAAACTAAGAGAGATTAAGTGACCTGCCAAAAGATTATACAAGACAGGCATATCTAAGTTTCAGCTCCATGTTGTATCCTACAGTTCAGTGAAATGTTCAGTCKTCCTTTGCAGCTAAGTGAAAATTAATTATCAAGTGAGCTGATGAAAGTCCGTTATTGATCACATAGATTTATGATCCCTGTTACCCCATGTGTGTCTAACTGAAGGATTGATCCAGTTTCAGATTAGGTAGGCAGAGATATGTTTCAGTATAACTTTCCTTCTTATTTGATGTTTAATAGCATTCTCTTCACTTTCTCAAATAAGTGCAAATGTGTAATACAGAGTATTYAGTCTTGATAAAAGCAAGTGATTATTTGGATCTGTTTCTTTTCTAGTTGAACAATCATTTTTAACACTGTGGCAAGGCTACCATGAGACAATTTCTTAATTATATTCAGTGCCAAAATCCAGATGGACTGCAGTGGAATTCCGATGTCCAAACAGCAGTGCTGAGAGCCCACATGTGATTGACAACATGAGCATGTGCCTYTGTGTCTTTCTTGGATCGGCTGCTGTGTTTGGTATCAAGTCTTCTAAAGTGCTGCTGTAGAACCAGTTCAAACAACCCCACACTCAGCAGATTTTTCCCTCTGGCCTTGTCCCYGCAGCAGGTGAGGCTGATTTCTTTAAGACACAGAAACCATTTTAAAATAAGGCTGTAGTGTGATAAGCCATCGTTAAGCCTGAGGTTTCATGAGCACACTGTAAAAAAAGTCTAATCTGTAGATGTTTTTTTTAAGTATTAAAACTGTGTTAACAGCAGCTGATTGCAAACTTTCAGGAGGTGGTTTAACAGTAATAATTATTATTAATTGAGCATAATCACAAATCTGAAAAATACCATTCTGTTTCATGGACTTTGCAGTATCATAAAACTGGTGCACAGGCCTTACTCTGTGTATAGGTAGCAGGACTGTAGCAGTGTCAGGACTTGAAACCAGGTCTTGCATATTCTGGGTTTGARCAGTATTCTGTCTTTGATTTAGTTACTGTTAATCTGTGACATATTTATTTCTTWAGCTTGGACCTATTTAAAAGCTAATTAAACCTTAATGAAAAATTGTATAATTTATACATTTTCTGGCTGAGTAAGAAATTTTTAAGGGGTCTGGAATCTACTCAGATTTTCTTAGCAGTAAGGATGTTAGCAATTTTCTGCATTTGTACCTCTTTTCATCATTCTATCACTATTGTTTCTGAACACTTCACAGCAGTCTTTAAATATCATTATAGCTCCTGTAAGAAGTATGAGTGTGTTTATCCCCTATCAACAGGTGGCAAACTAAGGCACAAAGATGTTTGAGCTCAGTGTAGTAATAGGTTTTGTGCAAAAGCTGTGTGCTTTGCACAAAATGCTCTGAAAAATTGTTAAAGTTCTGTTTCTGTCCTCTTGAGCACTATACCAAGATTCTGTGGGGAGCATATATACATATATTTTTATTCCCCAAACTTCCAGTTTCAAACATGAGCATCTTTAACTGTATTTCCCGCTCTTGTCATCATAGATTTTAAGATTTTCTGTTCCTGTATTTTGTATGTGTGTGTTTGGATACAATTTTAATTATTTCATTCTCAATTATGCTGGACATCTGTGAGGAAAATGACATGAAAATGTCATGCCCCTAACAAATTAATTGCAAAGCTGCAAATATCAAATGGTTCTAGTTATAGAAGAAATATATTGGATAAGGCATGATAGTGAGTTGGGTTAAAAAGTTGAAAGATATCAACTTAAGTATTTAAGACTCAAAAAATAAGCATATACCCTCTGTAGAAACACATTTGTGGAATCTTTRTTTCCAGTTTTCACGAAAAATGTACTTCTTGACTGGAATTAACATTTTGTTTGGCCRTTAGTTAATTTGGCATCAGATTGACTGTTTAATATGACCCTCCCATCATAGCAGAATATTATGTACAAAAAGACCAAACATAGAATTCAAGAAGTATCTCTTTTTTAAGTTAATATTCAGGTCAAGTGAAAAATTAATTACAAAAAATTGTTTCTAAAGCAACAATTTTCCCCTAAATCTAGTATCAGTCATATCACTAAATATAATGRCATAAATATAGAATGCAATATAAATCACAGAACTCTCCTAAATTTTTAATTTACTTGGAGAAATGTGTTTTCTGCTTTAACTCTGCATCAAGTATCTTTCTGTGACAGAGAAATGCTGTCCAGATTTGTTTTTGTATGGTCCAAGCAATGTTGCTTCAGCTAGGAAGATTCAGGGTTCTCCTTCCTCTGTTTCACAATAGTGGAATGCTGAAGGTGTAAATTTATCTTGACACCACAAAAGAAAGTTGCTGCAGGCTGCTATTTCATCTGTGTTTTGGATACAAGACAGGTTATGTGCAGGGAAGTGTCTAAAGTTTCAGATTTATAATAAAGAGCACTTGATGGAGACTGGTAAATAGATGAAATTCAGACCCATTTTAGTGATTCAAGTGCCATAAAACAGTGACTATCATTTGTTTAAAAAATACTTTGAACCATTGTAGTCTAGTTGTAGGGTCTGAGAGATGCTTTTATGTCAAAATTTTGGATAGTCCTTTTCATCAGGRCTTCCTAAGGGCATAGTTGGTTGCTGTAATCTCTTTGACACTTGTTGCTTTTCAGGGTCACTGTGGCTCAGGATAGAAAGGAGTCTATCCAAAACACCCTTCCAGTGATTCCCAGCTGCTCTCTAGTACTTTGAGACCACCAGCAGCTGGTGAGGCTGGGAAAGGACCTCCCAGGCCATGCCYAGAACAGTGAAATTGCAAAACTGTSTCCAGCAGCAGTKCAACACTTCTTCAGATGCATGGAAACKGCTCAGTCCAAGCAAAGGAGGCCATGTATCCTTTTGCCAAGTACTGGATGTACAGTGCCTGACACTTCATTTCCCTGTCCCCCAAAATGATTGTTCCTGGCCTTGACGTTTTTTTACACAGCTTCAAGAACTGAGCCAGCCTACTGCTTATAATGAAACATACCCAACAAACGGATCTTTTGAGAGTTTTACACCTTGTGGCTGGATTAGCAGGTTACTTATTTCTTAGTGATGTAAAAAGTATTTTTGCTAGAAGGTGTGATTAGGGAGGATAGCAGCAAAGGTGGCAGGAAAACCTSRTTGTTGTATTCATCAGTGAGGACTGGAGGACTTCTTGGTTTGGTGTTTTTTTTCACATATCCTTTTGAATTATGGGGTTACTGCTTCTGAAGCTGTAGAGCTCAAGGTGGTTATTACATAAGTAAAAAGAAAAKGTGTCATTTTTTCCATGCTGCAATGTTTAAAAGTTAATTCTCTTATAGATCTCCTGTGCTCTGCCATATAAATATTAAAAAAGCAGCAGCTTATACATTACAAATAAGAACCATATGAAAACAGGGACTGTAATCAGTGAGAATCAAAAACATCTCAGATAATTCTTCAGTACTTCTAAATAATCAMATAATTTTAYGGTGAGTTATACTTGCACRTACATTTCAAGATRGATTTTTAAGGCATTTCAGAGATGCYCACTAGACTCTATCTGCTCTCTGATAAACTGACACCAAATTCCTTATAATTCTAAGGGAAGGAGCAAAAAGGGATAGAGAAGAGCTTGTTTTCTGAGTTGCTTTCAGAAGACCCCTACCCTTGTGACCTGTGGCAGAGGATCAGAGTGGTTTTGTGTCTTGCACTCGGTGAACTGTGCTTGTAAATACTTGGGAATTGCCATATATCTACAGCTACTGGGGGTTTATCTATGTTAGAGAAACTCCACTGTCCTGTCTGCAGTTATTTTATGCCCRTAATTTACTGATACAGTATAACACATACCCACTCCAATCAGGATTTTTGATGTATCTCTTGTGCTCTGAAAAACCAAGCAGGCCTTCAGAGAGAGAAGCGAGATTTCCACAAGAAAAGACCATCAGGTGCTGAYGTTCTGTAAAGTCACGTCTGATTGTTCTTTGCACCTCTTCCTCTCAGCCAAAGAAGACTATTATTCCCTGCAGGCCTGTAAAAAAATTACTCCATGCTGCTGAATYGTAGAAATTGTCTAGATGATCTATTCAATACAGCCCTATGAATCCTCCTCCCTCTGGCAGAGCCCTTTTCCATGACATGGGGATTCATTTCTGGTTTTCAGCCASCAGAATGATCCCAGTAAGAGGGACAGTTTTCACACCTGTTATTTTCTAATACTCAGAAAGATAACACAATTAGATCTTATTTGAGAGATCACAATGCTTTCTTCTCATTTCATGCTAGTGGTCTTGGCATCTCAAACATGTTCCTTATCAGAGGGCCTTGATCCTCGGGATGTTTTTCAGGGGAAGCATTTTCCTATGTAAACTACTGTTACTCTCATGAAAATTTCTGATTGATCTGCTTTCTCATCTACCGCAGAGCTTCTGTGAAGGGTGATGGTTGCTTTCAGACTCAGAGACCTCTTCCTGAAGCAACTATCTCTGAGGAGGCAGGGGATTACAGATTATTCTTCCTGTCTTCCCAGTGCTTCCTTGACTCAGCTGTGATGCTGACATCAACACCGACTCTCTCCTCTCCCAAATTATGGTGGTAACAATTTAAGGCAGCTGGTTTACTTGAAAACTTGATATCTTTCTTCCAGTGAAGTTTTTCACTTCCTAGAATGTTGTGTGTTTTTTTCCATCATATTGATGGATATTATCTTTAAWTCATGCCTTCCTTCTCCCAGCTAAGTCTGTGTACATGGCTCCAAGCAGACAGAAAGGAGTGTTTGCTGTTGGRTTAGCACTTGTAGTTCCTGCCCAATTAATGGAATCACCCAGAAGGAGAAATGAAGTTTTTAAGTCATCCACAGGTTTAGCAAGGCCAAGCTATTAGTGGTGGTGGGTTAAGTCTGGAGCTGAAGCTCCAGAGTGCYCAGGCTGCCCTAACAGTTGTTGCTGCCCATGAAACAAGGACGAGATGAAAGTACAGCTGAGTGTACCAAACTGAAAGCTGTGGCCACCCCTGAGTGGATCATGTGTGCCAGATTTTGGGAGTGGAATGACCTGTAAAGGGAGAGGAGGAAACCCACATGAATGGTGACTAGAAATGTTTCATTGTGACCTACTGACATGTACATTAGACATCTAAATTGAGAAATCCTACCTAAGTGTGGGGAAATCCCTGTGCACCTCAATGTACAYGTAAATGTATCATTTATGCAGAGTTTTTGTGCAATCTCAGCTCTAGCTTCCCCTTGGGTGTAAGAGAGAAAATAGAAAGCTGTTTTTAAGGGAAAAGAAAAAGCTGTTTGTACTACAGGAAGCCTGAATTGTGAGCCCTAGCTGACTATTTACTAAGCTAAGTGCAACATGGAAAATTCAGTGTCAGGGAAATAACAGAGCTTTCTGTCCTGGTGGCAGGCAGCCATRGTTGTTGTTACTGGCATGGTCAGCTAACACAGACTTTGGACACAAACTTAATACTCATCCTTCTGGTATTACTATAGATGGATAAAATCACCATGAGAACTACCCAGTAGTGAAAAAAACCCATGTTTATACTGCTTTTCTCTCCTCAATCCAGTGATGTCAGTTCTAAACTGCAGTTGGGAACATGTCTGGTGGCTTCTGTGACACGTGCGGGTGGCTCAGTGTTCACTGGACAAATCCATCAGGAAGTTCCCTACATCACAGCCATCACTGCCAGTGCCTGGTGACTCAAAGATGAGCCCAGATGAGACAAATGCAGCATGACCTACGCATCCAAGAGACATTTTCTTAACAACCACTTTCTGGCACAGAAAAAGAGTATTTCCCTTCAACCTTCTGTGTCTCTTCTGTGTTTGGAGAGAAGAGAGCACTGAGAGTACAGCTGTGAAATCTGAATAGGAGGTAATAGTGCAGATGTGTGTAGTGTATGTGGAAACCTTGGTTTTCAATGCACAGTGATTTTTTAAGAGCTTAATGCTGCCTGTGATGCCTTTTGCACTTCTAGTGCCTCTTCTCCTGCATGTGGCATAGCAGCAACGCGTTTTGGTGTCTGCTATAATATGGGTAGTATTTGCAGTATATCTCATATATCAGCATATAAATGTGTCTCATTTTTATMAAATTGAGTTATGAGTGGGGAGTATCCTGCAAGGATAACACAAATTATCTTTAAATGAGTGGTGGAAGTGATCTTGTACCTGAGAAAGTGTGTCCATGGATTCTGTGAAGTGAGTTGCATGACAGATAGAGGTGAACTGGAATTCAYTGGGATGATATGGATAGGGTAATGGTGGTTGATGTCCCAAAACTCACAGGAGGACTGATGGTCCCAGGAAATCCAGAGGAGATTCTGCTGAGAWGCCAGTGGGAGACCTCCATGTTGGCACCTGGTTCAGCCTGGAGGCTGGATCACAGGTAGGCAAATCAACCAAGAGGAATGGAGACAAACTGGACAAATGTGACCTGCCTTGCTTCCTAGACCMCCAGGCAAAGAAACACCTTGTATGTCCCTGCTGATAATCCAGCACTGAGCTTGGGAGAGACACCTGGACCCATGGTCTATATGTAGATGGAAGTTWTAAACATGAAACAGAATCTTAAATAGGATTAAATGGAAACATCAAATTGCATAAAGTGCAATCTTTCTACTGAGAAATATAAATTGCATTGAGAAACGGGAAGGGGGAAAAGAGAAATGAAGCCTGCATGTTTTGGTTWGTTGGATTTTCTTTAAGTTGAAAAGCATATAGTTTTAAAAAATAGAGTAGAATAAAAAAATATTTTGCTTCTCCAGACTTTGGGAGTCTTGCCACTTTTGCTCATCAATTTTMTGTCTTGTTTTAAAATCCCAGCATTTTTTTTTTATAATTAAATTGTAAGTTCTTCAGGGCAGCAGCTATATTCAGATATGGAGCAGTAAACAGCCTGCAGCAATAAATACTTACCCTGATTGGCACCACTGAGCAATATAAGCGCTATGTAAATAATGAGAAAGTCTGAGAGGTGCTGAATCCTCGATAAACACTGTTCCTTTTCAGCAGTTTACATTACAGAGGAATTAATTCCAACAGCRCACAAAACCATGTCGGTGCATCAGCTAAAGGCAGCCAGGATACCGCTTGGAGGTATGGAAAGTCATGAAAAGCTGGGTRAGCCCCATGATGTCCTCTGGGAGGAAAGATGCTCTGGGGAAAAGCTGTTTTGAAACTTGGAGCCAAGCTTCTCATTCTTTGGAAAGGAAAAAAAATTGACAGAGTTGTCTTTTGTGACATTCAGGAAGGATGAAACATCTGTATGAGATAGGTCCAAACTCCCATCATAGGCAGGAAACCTGGAGAGCTATCCTGCTTACTGCTTCAGTTGTCCACATTTATTTATCCAGAGCCATCTGAGATACCCTGCAATAGGGCCTGACTTCCAGCTGCCACTTGGGAGGGAGAAAGGTCATGTTTAATATTTGGCAATTCTGTGTAAACGTCTTGGGTACCAGAGGCAAAGCTGGCACTGGACATCTAAGTTTAGCCAGCTAGTTGGTGTGCCAAGAGGTCTGCTTGGGGTGAAGTGGGCAGATCTCTGGACTCCACTGGCTGTAACAGAAGCCTGGACATCCAACCAACACATGSATATCTCCCAGATCTCCTAACCTGCAAGGGGAATATTATTGTCCTTTAAGATGTGTCCCAWGACAAGACTTCGAGTGGTGTCCTTTAAGATAATACATTAGAAAATTAATGATGCTAACATTGTGAAAGTTCTATAACCTCTTCTTAAAAATCGGCAGTCTTGAAGTGGAGCTGGAGTTGCATGTGAGAGTSCATGTGGGCTTCAGACCTGCTCTGAGCAAGCGTGGCAGCTCCACAGAGCCCACAGTGTGGACACCGAGCTGGCTCCGTCCACGGGCGTGTGGTGCTGCTGGGGCACCAGGAAGGCTGGGTAGAGGGAGCTCACATGGACAACCACCAGTCTGGCATCGTGCACTGGCTTGTGCACAACGCTGTACAGAGAACACATCTCACATGTTACTGAAATGTATTACACATCTTTCTTTTTTCCTTTGCCTTAATTCTACTTCTTTTTTCTTCAGAAATAATTTCCTTCTGAGGATGTGAACTTACTGCAGCAATAACTACTGTTTGCCTACATGTTTGCACAAGAGAAGCACAAGGAGCCCCTAGTGTCTGACAAGGATGCTGTGGCAAAACAAATTAAAAATAGAAACAGAAAGCCAGAGTGCAGAGAGGTTATTGCACCAAGGATGACACTGGCTCTCTGAGACAAGTCTGAGGTTTTCTGAGGTTTAACTCAATACCTCCACCAAAAAAAAAAAAATTCCATGCATGATATTATATATCAAAAACTCGTATTTGGCTACTGCCTGAAAGTTGTTGGTGTTTCTAGACATGGAGAAGGGGAAACAGTCCTTGACCATGAAGTACTACAGCATAAGGTGTAATCAGACAGGAAATGAGAAGGGTATTTAAGATCACAGGTATTTTGTCCAGTGTTGGAGCAGGACAGATGGACTCTCTCTGTATCCCCAGATGTTCTTAAAGAGAGAAGGAACTGCCTACAACTAAGAGTTTTTTTATCTGAAAGTCAGTACCAGTATGTTTTTTCACCTCATATAAACAAAGAAAAAGAAGGGTTTGTTCTGCTTCACTGGAGCAAAAAAAATAGCACAATAGACTTCCATTCAGGCACACAAATAGCAACTGTCCTGTGACTTCTCTATTTAAATGGGTATCCATGGTGAGATCTGCCTCGCTCTCAGTGGATGGCTGCGGAACGGTGCTGTGGTTCACGCTGCAGGCAGGGGGGRAAAGCATCTGAAAAATCCTCCTTGAATGAATAAATGAAGAAATGCAAGAAGGTATCAAGTCTCTGGTGCAGTACACTGCAAAACATGATGCTTGTGTTCTCCACCACTGCTTCACTGTCCCTTCACAGTGCTTTCCCAGGCCCATTCYAATTAAATGAAGCTTGTACTTGTAGGCACAGCCCTGACCAACAGATGGTACATAAATAGGTGTAAAAACTGCAGCATCACAAGGGGCTTCCTTGCCAGGCTGCATTTCTTGTTTGCTYTCCTCTTTCAGTGTTGGCAGCAGGGATTAGTAATCTGCTCTYTGATAGCCAAGCCTGGATCTGACCCCTCCAGGGTCTTGCCTGACTCAGAGCACACAAGGAYGACCTGGTGCTGTAGGAACCAGTGCAGATGACTTTTGTGCCAGTGGCTGCTAGCAGAAAAAGGAAAAGAACTTGGGGGCA